CCTCGAATACTGTGTTCAGTTCTGGGCCCCTTACTACAGGACGGATGTTGAATTGTGGGAGTGTTTCCAGAGAAGGGCAATAGAGCTGGTGAGGGGTCTGGAGCACAAGTCTGATGAGGAACGGCTGAGGGAACTGGGGGTGTTCAGTCTGGAGAAGAGGAGGCTGAGAGGAGACCTTATCACTCTCTACAAAGGAAAGGAGGTTGTGGCGAGGGGGGGGGTGGTCTGGTCTCCCATGGTCTGCTCTCCCAAGTAACCAGCAATAGGATGGGAGGAAATGGCCTCAAGTTGCGCCAGGGGAGGTTTAGACTAGATATTAGGCAAAATTTCTTTACAGAGAGAATGGTCAAGCATTGGAACAGACTGACCAGGGAGGTGGTGGAGTCACCATCACTGGAAGTGTTCAAAAACTGTAGACATGGCACTTGGGGACACGGTTTAGTGGGCATGGTGGTTTTGGGTTGATGGTTGGACTTGATGGTCTTAAAGGTCTTTTCTAACCTTAATGATTCTGTGATTCTGTGTGATTCTATATTGTGGAATGGCTAAAGACAGATATGCCAGGCTAACAGAGTGCTCTCCTCAAGGACAAAGGAAATGCAGTGTATCTAACTTGCCTGGGTTTTAACTAGGCTCTGATGCAGTAGCACATGGGAGATAACTCGCTAAACTTGGGAAAGGCACAGTATGTTTATGGCTGTGTGACAGAAAGGACTAAAAGATTGACTGGCTTGAGAAGGGTGATTACCAGGCATTTGCAGAGATGGCTTTTGGTGCTGACATTTACTTTTTTAAGGGCAAAAGAAAGCTGAGTACGTTATGAGCTTGCTGATGATGTTAGAGGGCACTGCCGGCACAGAGAAGCAGCAGAACATCAAACAAGGAGAGTCAAATGGCCTTGGGAACTGCAAGAACGGGGACGGGAAGATGTGAAATGGTGTACTGCAAAAGTGCCTTGACTGGGGGGAAATCAGAGTCTCTGCTGTGAAAGGAAGCTCATTACTAACAACAGAGAAAGGACTTGTCTGTCTGGGCCAATACATCAGGCAGTGAGCGCCAAAGTTATACAGATGTGAAGAACACCCTGCCTGTCAGGAACACTGTTTTCCATAGATGCTGGGAAGAATTAATGTCTCTGTGCAGGGGACCTCTAAGGTCTTCTCTGCAACAGCATATCTAGGACAGGGTTGGCTGTCCAAGTCTGGAAAAGACAGAACTGCTTACTATTAATGCTGTTGACCACTTTACAAATAGGAACATGCACAGTGGCAGATAGACCCACTCCTTCCCATCCCAGGTTCTCCACACTGATTTTAGGGCTGGATCACAGCTGAGCAAGGGCAGAGGGTGCCCTGGGGATGAAGGTGGTGGAGGGTGAGAAGGTGGGGAGGAAGGCTGCCACGCAGCTGGATGGTGTCCTCCAAGAGATGAGCAAGGGGTAGATGGTGCAGGGACAAGAGGAGCTGGAGTGCTGGATACCTGAATACGAATGATGGCTGATGTACTGCGAGGCACTGCACCCCGGTCACTGGCTGTCACAGTGAAGATGTATTCAGCACGATCAGACCGGCGTAGAACTGTGGCAGTCCGCAACTCTCCAGTAGCCATGTGCAGTGTGAAACGCTCTGCCCAGGCTCCTGCAGAAAGAGGGTGAAATGCTGCAGGAAGAAGCAGAGAGGAGGGAGGGCAGGGGGCAGGTTGGGATGGAGGAGGGAGTGCGGTGTGGCAGGACTTGGGCAGTGAGCACCCGTCTGCCCACCGGGGTGATGGCTGCAAGTGAGAGAGCAGCATCAATTAGTCAGTTCATACCTATCAGTGAGTAGATGATGGTTCCATTCTCACCCTCGTCGGGGTCCTTGGCCTGCAGGGAGGCAACTAGAAGTCCTGATGGCTTCTCTTCCAGCACCTGCAGCACAGCCCAGGGAACAGCTGAGTGGCACAGGGCACCCTTCAGACTACCCCCACAAACCCCAGAGAACGGCACAGGATCTGCACCTTCCTACACCAGTCCTGAACCTCACCCAAGGCACAGATCCTATGGCAAGACCCACAGGCTGTGTCTGAGGCTGACAACATGGCGAAGTCCACGGCAAAGCTGGTAAAGGGAATTTCTGCCTTGCCAGCCCTCCTCTCATTCTGCCCTGTTTAACAACCAGCTTAGCAGCCTTGGGGCATGCTGCAGGGTGATGGGAGGACACTATTTCACCCATGTTACATCCAAAGCCTCTACAGCTAGGAAAATCCAGGGCTTCATGACAGTCCTGGTTCTGTCTGCCCCCAACAGACTCTTTCAGCTGCAAATGCAAAGGTGTGAGCCCTGACAGGCTCAGAGGCCAGTCGCCCTGGCAATGGAAGGGGATTTCCTCAGTTCCCACCAGCCAGGCCAGGGAGGTTTGTGATCTCTGGAAATGCAGATGGAAGTTATTCCTAGGCTTGGACACCTAGACTCTTAAGGCTTACCCCTCTGTCATTTGCTCCTACTTAGCCGTGCTGACTGCCTGTCTGTAGGTGTTTAAGACCACCATTTTATGCCAGTGCATCACAGTACCATCAAGTCATTAATTATGCATGTGCTCAGCTAAAACCACATTCTGAGGTGAGTTACCAGCTTCCTAACAGAGACCACATGTAACAGCATTGCATGCAAGTACCTTTTGTGGATAGTTATGGAAATGCACACATCCCTATTACTGCCCCTCACTATGGGTCAGTTTTTGGGAGTATCCTCAACAAACAACCCATGCCTACTGGCAGACCTGTCTCTCCTCCAGCACAGACTCCTTGCACCTACCCACACCTCACTGGTAGAGCAGGTTCCCCACTTGGCACAGACTCTGCAGTCCCTTCCACACCAGAGGACATCAAATTCACACCCTATCAGCACATGCCACAGCACAAATCATCCTCACAGATTCAGCTGTGCTAGGTGATCTCTGTGTGGTACCACTTCAATGCATTTATGAAAAAGACAAGTCGAATCTGAGCAAGAATCCAAGGAAAGATGCTGCAAAGCTCCTGAGAGGAGTCAAGTGTTAATGCTGTTGCACAAGCTGCTAGCACCATGCTGGTGGCGCTCGGGAGGGGAGACCAGAGGGGCTGGACTTGTTTAGCCAGGCCAAGCAGTGATGTGACTGCACTCTGTAAACACTGGGGAGAGGGGAGGGAAATTCCAAGGAGAGAGAAGAGCTATTTAAGCAAAAACACAATATTGGCACAAGAACAAATGAGTATAAAGTGGTCAGAAATTAGTTTAGGCTGGAAATTAAGAGATGGTTTCTAACTACCAGATCAAGGAATCTGGAACAGCATTTCACAGCAGTGATGGAGGCAGAAGACCTTCTAAATATAGCTTGGCTGTTTATGAAAAGGAGTGTCTGTGTGGACACCTCTCAGTGGGGCCATGCCTTAGAGGCCCCTTCCAAGCCTTCCTCTGTAACAGGCTGGGGCAGCGCCTGTCCCCCATGCTGTCTCTAATCTCCCTCAACAAGGATACAAGGGGTTCCTGCTTCGCGTGCATGGTCACACTCCTCTTCCACAAGGAATCAAACTCCATCTGAGGAATGGAGGAAAGCAGTGACTCAGCAGAGTTAAATGAGCAGCATCCACACAGGCTCCATGTACAAATGCCATTTCAGATGCACAGAGGAATAAACAGCAATAAAAGTGGTCTTGCCTCTGCAAAAACCTCAGCCTCAGTAAAACTGCTACCAGGCAGGCTTGTCCAGGTCACATGTCCACTCTCCAAGAAGGTTGTTGCAAATACCAGCTTGGTCCAAAGATCAGAGAGCCATCTCAACCACTGCCATAGCTCTCACAGTGGCTGGCAGTGAATATATAGAGAAGATGCAAGAAATAGGGTTTGTATGGAATAATCCTCCTGTGAAACCTTCCCAGCTTCCAGCAGTCTGTGGCTAAGTCACTTCCTGAGCCACAGATCATATTTTTGTTCAACAGCCTTTGATGGATTCATTTCTTTCCATGAATTCATCTAATTTTGAACCCATGCAACTTTTGGCAATGATTTCACAATTTAATTATGTTCTGCATGAAAAAGTACTGCCTTTGTTTATTTTAAACCTGCTGCCTGGTCATTTCTTATGAAGCTGCCTAGGTCTTGTATTGTGAAAAAAGCAATTTCTAATTTCTCCTTTACTTTCTCTGTGCCATTCACTGCACACCTCTGTTATATTCCTACAGTGTCTTCCACGCCAAAGAATGTTCAAGTATTTTCTTTCTGCATGGAAATCATTATCTAGTGGAGATCACATTAACATCCTTTTCTGAACCTTTTCTAGCACTACTGCTTATTTAGTGGAACAAGGCAGGGCAGAGAGTGTGTGCAGAATTTGAGATGTAGGGTAATGATGTTTTCTTTCATTCTCTGTTCCTTTTCTAACAAAGCTCAGCATTTGATTTGCCTTTTTGACTACGGCTGAGCCCTGAGCTGACATTTTCACAAAGCATTCATGGCGATGCCCCAATCTTCTCCCTAAACTTAAGTAGCCAATTCAGAGCCCACCACTGTGTAGGTGAAATTCATATTGCTTTTTGCCATGTGTATCACTTTCCAGTTAGCAACAGTGAACTTCATCTCCCATCTTCTTTCCTAATTGAATAGTAAAACAAAATCATTCTACAGTTCTTCACAGGGAGCCCCCACCTTTATTACTACGAATAGACCAGTAACATCAACAAACAATCACCTCTTCTGGAGGGTATATGAAAATGCTAAATAGCAAGGATACCAGCACCAGTCCTAGGCACCCACCTAGTGACATCCTCCCTCCAAAAACAGACCACTTCTTCCTTCCCTGTGCTCCCTCTCCCCTTTCCTAATTATCATTCCCTGGGAGGATCCATTACTACTGCAGTTCCTGTGTGAACAACACCTGGTCCTGCCAGTGTGTTACCAATGTGCTTGATAAGCTCATCTTGCAACCCTACAATGAAAGATACCCTGCTAGGTGATGCTTAAAGCAAGGTGCTGATACAGAAACCTCCATCTGCTTTGCCTAATGAATTTGTATATTAATAGTTCACTGAGCAAGTCTGCAATAAATCATTGTGCTTTGCATTTATCAGTTTTTACTTTTCCCTCCAAGCCTTTCTTCTACATCTAAATCGTGGTTAACAGTGGCCTATTCCTGTGCTTCACCCTTCTCTACCAGTGTTTCTAGCAGGAGAGCTTCAAACCAAAGTGCCTAAATATTTGTTTCATTCAAAACTGTCACAGCATTTACCTGCCTTCAGGACTCTAAATCTGTCCTAGCCTTGCTCTGTCTCCTGAAGGATGCACATGCTTTTGTGGTACCTTTGCATGAGAAGATGCCTCCTGAGCTCTAGCAGGACACTCCCAGCATTTCATGCCCCCAAACACTGGAATCAACTGCAAAGCCTGCTGTGCAAGTGTGTTGCTGGTGTCCCCAGACAGCAGACAGGACACTCGGCAGACTGCAGACAGAGTGTGAGCAACACCATTTTGCAGAGCCTGTTCAGCCAAAGTCTCAGCAATGCCACAGCTGGCTGGTCCCTGGCCTGCAAGAGTGACTCAAAGGCCAGAGCCTTGCTCAGAGAGAGGACAGGAGTAACTTTGCCTTCCTCTGCCTCCACTGGGCCCTGAGAGATGCCTTCATCAGGCCAAGCCTTGCCAGACAGTTTTGCAAGCAGAGACCGCCAGCTGGACATGCAAGAAGGCTGGGCAAGGGATGGCTGTAACCTGGAACAGGAAGGGAAAAAGTAATGAACAGGGAAGGCCTGACTGGAGTTGCAGAGTTTCCCCAGCATCCTGTGCTGATGGCCACCCAGATGCAGCAGTCATCTGCCAATACAGTCCTTCCTGCCCTGACCTGCCCCTGGGGGGGACCTCCCAATACAGTCCTGCCTGCTCTGACCTGCCTCTGGTGTGCAGCTCAGGCAGGACCTGCAACAGAGGAAGGTTGCCATCACCGTGATGTTTTAAACCCAGCACACTGCAAATGGCTTTGAGCACGCTGCCCGAAGTGCAGCAACGTGCAGAGCAAGCACATCCTTTCAGCTGTGGGTTCTCCCCACTGTGCAGAGGAGATGAGGACAGGCCTTCAATTGCCCATCCTGCTCCATTGCTGCCAGTGCTGCTTGGCTGGCTCGCCACACGTGCCACTCCAAAGGGGCCACAGCAGAGCACAGATGATGCCAGCTGGCGGTGGGGGTGGAGGGTTGGTCCTCACCCACGTCTGTTGAGGAGCACAGACATAACTTAGTCTGCAGCACACTCAGTGCCTGGGTGACCACAGCCGCCACACGGTGCTGAGGGAAAGCTGGGCTGGAACTCATAGCAGATTCTCAGAAAACCCTTGTGAGTGCAAAGTCCAACTAAGCAGTGCTTTCTTGATCTCCCAGAAAGCTGAGTGGCTACACCTAAAGTCCTGAGACCTAGAAGTTAATGGCACCCCGTGCCTCCCTGCTCGCAAGTATTTTACCCTTGGCTCTGCTGGGTCAAGTTTAGGGGTCCCTTTCTTCTTCTCTTCTTGCAGGCATGTGTGAGCCAAGAGCTTCTGCCTGCTGGTCAGAGCCCTCTGCAGTCCTCACGTACTCTGTGCATAGGGAATGTCTGTATTTCCCAAGGATATGCCCATCTTACCACATCTCAATCAGATTTGCCAGACTGCCCTGGCTGCTGCATGGATGAAACTTACGCCTGCTTATCTCCCACCCTGAAACCCTGAAACTTTCCCCCTGCAGAACCACCTGTCCCCAAACCCAGAGGCTATCACACCCCTGCCTCACCAGGGCTCCAGCCTGCTGTCCCTACCTGCACAGGCAGCTCCTGGCCACTGGTCACGTGAAGGAAAGCAGGAGCGTTGTCATTCTCATCCAGCACAGTGACATAGATGGTTCCTGTGGCACTGCGGGGTGGTGCTCCCCCATCCTGCACGATCAGCAAGAGCTGGTAGCTGGACTGCTGCTCCCGGTCCAAGCTATGCTTGGTGCTGAGCTCCCCTGTGAGGGACAAGTGGGGACACAGCTCAGCCCAAAAAACACTTTAGAGAAGAGGCTGTGCTCGGGTATGTTGCTGGGGAGCCCAGCACCGCAGGGGTAGGAAGATGAATATTCTGTTGCGGCACTGGCCTGGCCCGCATCACTTTTGACCTGCCCTGGGCTTTCTCCCCAGTCAGCCCCAGCCTAGGAAGCCAGGAAGTCTCTCACCTGTCTGTGTGTGGATAAGGAAGTTGGGATCGTGCTGGAGCAGGCGGTAGGTGAGCCGGCTGTTCTGCCCAGCATCCCGGTCACTTGCCATCACCCTGCCCACACTGCTACCAGGAGCCTGATTCTCAGGAACAGTGAAGAAGTAACGCTCCTCACTCAGCCGGGGGCTGTTGTCATTCTCATCAGTGACGCTGATCCGTACCGTGCTGGTGCCTGTTTTCCGGGCTTCCCCCCCCGCACCACTTCCTCCTGCCGAGGCCAGCACTGTGAGCACATACAGGTCCCGTGTCTCCCGGTCCAGTGCGCTTTTGACATACAGCCAACCACTCTCAGGCATGATGCCAAAGCTGGCAGCATCCCCATCTGCACGCAAGTGGTAGGTAAGGGTCATGGATTCTGCATCGCGTGCCAGGGCCCGCACCTGCAGGAAGCGGGTGGAAACAGGCACACCTTCCTGCACCTCCACGCGGTAGGTCAGTGTGTCAAAGATGGGCCCATTGTCATGCTCGGCTTGCACATGCACCAGCAGTGTGAACGTGGAGCTGAGCTGGGGAACACCACTGTCTCGGGCCACAATGGCCAGCCTGTAGGCTGTGCTGGCTTCATATTGCAGGGCCCCCATCAGTCGTACTGCCCCCGATGAGCGTTCCACACTGAAGGTGCCATCACCTCCTGATACCAGCTCAAAATTCACCTGGCCGTTGGCACCACTGTCACGGTCCTCAGCCTGCAAAGTGTACACTGTAGTCCCAGGTTCTGTAGCCTGTGGCAGCAGAATGGAGTCAGAGGGGGCTGGGAACACTGGCATGTTGTCATTCACATCTGACACAGAAATTTTCACGCGTGTGTTGCTATAGGCAGGAGGTGAACCACTTCGGGCCTGGACATCCAGAATGAGGACTGCCTGGGACTCATGATCCAGAGGTAGGCTGGTGTGGAGCTGCCCAGAGGCAGAGTCAATGGAAAAGTAGCCATGAGGATCCCCCGAAGAGATGGAATAAAAGATGTCATCAGCATGACCTATGCACAAGGAAATTAAGACAGGAAGAATGATTTGTGCATCCAGCTCACCTCCTCAGTCCCCTACAGACAGCAACAGGGTTGGGTAGTGCTGTCTGCAGCTGACTCTGGTTGGAAGGTGTACAGTAGCACTGTGTATATGTGCATGTATGCACAGATGCACGTGCACAAGTGTGTGTATATATGTATGTGTAAGCACATGTGTGAAAGCATGCAGTGAGTTGAGTAACAATCACATGGGTGCACATTCGGATGTGCATGCCCCTGTGTGTGCATGGAGCTCCCAAAACAGGGTTGCTCTGTGAGGAAGTGTGGTACTGGATCTTCAAGATGATGGACAGGGAAAGTGACTGCATACAAAAGGGACAAGCCCATACCTGGAGGGTTCTGGGCCCGGACAGCCCCCACACTGGCACCCTGCAGCATGTCCTCAGGCACTGTGAAGAAGTACTGAGCTTGCTCAAAGACAGGAGGTGAGACCGTACCCTCCACGATGCTGATGTTCACCCGGGCATTTGGCTGTGCCTGTAGTCCCCCACCATCTTGTGCAGAGATCACCAGCTGCACCAGGGTGTTGGCTTTACCACTCAGGGACCATGAGAGGGAGATGACACCTAGGAAAGAAAGCAGTTCAGAGGGCACTATGCCTGCACCACTGCATGTCATCTGGTACCAAGGGAACAAGCCAAACCATAACCGTGAAAAGAAAGACCGAAGGGGGCAGCAAACAATGTGCATCACAGGGGAAGCTCACCATGGAAGAACTGAAGTAAAGAAGAGGAACACTCCTGGGAAAGCCTCCCCACATCCTCCTTTCTCAACCTTAAGCCCAGCCCTGAGCTGAGTAGTGGTAAGGGCTGGGGAAAATGAGCCAGAGGGAAGGTCTTGGGAGAGGGAAAGGAGGGAATAGGGCTTCCAATGTGGGGTGTAGGGTGAGGGTCACAACCCAGCAGGTGGAATCTGGGCTGTGGGGAGGCTCTTGAAGGAGATGTAGAACAGAAGGACCATCCTCCACAGGCCCTACAAAGGAGGTGGCCCTGCATTAGGATGGCTGGTAGGCCTGTTTTATCGCAGTCACATTCTGGGAACTTGGGGACCAGTGTGGAGAGATCCTGATGCCTGGGCTGAGCACAGGACACCTTCCTGTCCTGCTGACAGCCCCTAGCATGACATGCCCATGCAGTCACCTCTCCAGCAGAAACTGCTCAGGCTTTGGTGGCCAAAGCAAGGCAGAGCAGATGCAGACAATGAGAAAGGTGGGACTGAGTGCGACAGAGATAGAGGGAAGGAGAGTAAACTGAGCTGGGGAGAGGGGGGAACTGGGCAGGGAAAACTGGGCGGGGGAACTGGGCAGGGACAAGAAACTAAGCAGGATACAGCCTAGTGGGGCAAGGCAAGCAGCATGCAGGAGGAAAGGCACAGTGAGTCAGTGATGGAGAATGAGGGAGAGGAAGGAAGACAGGACAAATAAGGAACAGAGCAGGGAGCAGAAACGAGAGGTCAGAGACTGACGCTGGGAAGGGGCTGCCAGAGGCTCAAGAAGCCAAGCCAGGGAAGATGTGGCAGGGAGAGAAACAGACATATTCTGGTGGCAGATTGCACTGCTGAGATGGCCAAGCAGTGACCCTCAGGCTGGCTTTTACATCTGCCTGCATCCCACTGCTCTGTTTGCTGCCTACTCTGGCTGCCCCCTGAGCTCTCTCTCACCTGTGTCCTTGTTGAGGGAGAAGAGAGGTGGTGAGTTTCCCAAGACAATGCGGTAGGTCACTTTCCCGTTCAGTCCCTCATCCTTGTCATGGGCAGTAACACGCAGCACAGCTGTACCTGGCATGCTTTGCGTGCTGATGCTGGCAGCATACTCCAGTGGGTAAAACACTGGCCGGTTGTCATTTATGTCCTCCAGGAAAACCTTCACATACACCATGGAGTTCAGGCCACCCTGAGGAAGGACCAGATTGGAGATGGTGCAAAGAGCAGGGGCAAGGACAACAGTATCCCCTGCACAGTCCTGAGTCAGCAGCATCACATCCCCATGCACTCACCCCGTCAACAGCAGTGATGGTGAAATCATAGGCAGACGTGCCCTCATCACGATCCAGAAGTTGCACAGTGCACAGCTGCCCCGTGTGCTTGTCGATGCTGAACTGCGTGGGGACAACACTGCCGATGCCAGAACCAATGGAGTAGGAAAGGGAGCCAAACATGCCGCTGTCTGCATCTGTGGCTGTCACCTGAATGAGGGAAGTCACTACATGAGCAGGGCCAGCATGACAGAGAAGACTACCAGCCAGACCCAGCCCATCACCACCACCACCTCCACAACCCAGTGCTTCCCTCTGCTCTGTGGCCTACAACAAAGTACACTGTCCTCAATGTTGGCTGTAGTAAAGCAGACTGACAGTTACTGCCTCATCCCTGCGATTCTTGTCCCAGACAAGCCACCACTTCCTCTGCAGCCCTCCCTGCAAGAGGACAGGGCCTCTCAGGGGCTCACTGGCTGCACACAGTGCCCTGGGCAGCAGCTGTGGCGCACCTCAGGATCAGCCTATGCTGGCCCGGTCCCCATGAGGGGACACAGGGGTAGGGGAGCACAGCGTTGCAGACTCTCAACGGCTGCACCATGCTTTCTATGTACTGTGCTGCCATGGGCCCCTGCACCACCAGAGGTACCTTGTTTCAGGTGATATCTCCCTTCTTGCAGCCCTGGGGCACCATACATGACCAAGGTCAGCACACTTGCCTTAGCAAAGGAAAAGGCCATATGAAGTGGGGTGGCAGAAAGGCCAAGCCTCACACAGATGCCAAGGATCTAGCAGCCAAGCATCCCCATTGCATCCAGCTTGATCAGCCAGCCAGGGACAACCTATGCTTTTGCAAACAGCTGCCCCAGGCCCTCTGCTCCTTCTTTTCTGCAAAGATGCTTAAGACAAGACAGGAAGAAAAACAGCCCCCTTTTCACCATGACCTGTTCTCTGTCCTGCTCTCAGAGCTCTGTGCCCAGCAGCCCTGGGCTCTGAGGATGATGACTGAGGGTGGCATTGCCCTATGACAGCCAGGGCCCACTGGAGCCTGGAGCATGTGAATTGCATTAGCAGTTACAAACACAGCAGGAGGATTAAAACTGCTCCTGCTTACAAGGCCCCAGTTCCTCCTTGGGCTCCTTGCAGAGCTCAGGTCAGCAGAAAACAGCTCCTTCCCCCTGACCCCAGCATCACTGCCCATGGCTCATCCACCAGCTGGGAGCTCTGCACAGAGAACAAAGCTAGAGGACAGAGCCAGGAGGGAGGCAGCTGGGCCAGGCCCGGGTGAAGTGGAGTTCAGGCCTCGTCAGCCACAGCTCCTCCCAGCAGCAGCGCTGGGGCCTCGGCTCCCGTGAGCGAGAAGCACAGGAACGTTGCACACGCGCCAAGGAAAGGGCCCAGCTGGGGGCTGCAAACAGCTCTTTCCTTCGGGCCGGGCCCCTAACCTGAACAACTCACCCGATCATCAGAGATGGAGAAACAAGAGAGAGTACAGAGAACGGCTGGGCCAGGGAAGAAAAAATAAATCTGGTAGAGGTGGAACCTCCCTCCCCTCAGACCATATGCTCTGCACCCCAGGGAGGGGAGACAGCACCTGAGATAGCCCCTTGCCAGTTCTCCTGCCCAGTGATCCACAGCCTCCAGGGAGGGGAGGTAGCACCTGCAACACACCCCTCACCAACTCTCTGGCTCTGCTGCTTGTGGCCTAAGGGGATGCCTGAGGGAGAAGCTGAGAGCACATCTACAATGAGGATCATGCTCTCTGTACAGAACCACCTCCCCAACCCTGCAGCTGCTGCCAGAAGAAGAGCCATGAAACAGGATCCCCCTTCCCTGCCCCAGCTGCAGAGCACTCGGAGCCACAGGTGCCATGACAGCAGCCCAGCCAGAAAGCACTTTGGGAAATTGGACCCACCTGCCTCCCCTCCACCCTGAGTTCAACATCCTCCATCCCTCCTGCCCCAGCTCCCTTTTCTGTGAAGCTGCTCATTTGAGAGTACAAATCTGACCTCACTGATATTGCTGAAACCTGTATTCTGTCTACCTGTATTTTGCCTCCACGTTGGATATTATTACTGGAGTAATAACCCTGTACCAATACACTTGAGTTGTGTGCCATGTCTGGATTTTAGCTGGTAGTGTTTTCTACCACTGTAGATGGAAATGCACCTGAAACTGATAAGCTGCTACGGTGACTGCAACAGGCATTAAGTGGCAAATTAGTAACTTCTTTCCTTCAAAATGAACTGCTTATCACTCTGAAAGTGTACTAAAACGCATGTCAGCTGCTTTAATACACTGTACAGCAACAAGCTCTGCAACAGAGTAAGGTATTTTCCTTAGGTTCCTTGGGCCATGGGCGCTGGTGTTGCCGGAACAGTCTCACTTCCCCACCTTAACTATCCTCTGACGGTCACCATCCTAAGAAAGATACCCACAGGGGAAGCTATCTGGAAGTAGAGCCTTCTGCCACAGGAGCTGGGTCAGATTTTGGCAATGGCAGAAACAGACGAGCTCTCACTATTATGCTGTTGTCATCTCCCTGGCTGCTCCCTGGTACCCAGGGCCATCTCCCTGCAAGATGCTTCATGGAGTCAGCAGTCTGGCATCAGAGGCAAACCTCGTTGCAGAGCCAGGGCAAGGCATTCTTAGAAAATGTTACCCATTCACATGTGTCTGGCACTCCACCTCCCCATGCTGCTGTGGGACTGTCTGTGGACCAACGACCTAACACAAACCCTGCCCGTACAAGTCCACACAGGGTCCAAGAGAGGTCATGTCATTGTTACAACCAGCACTGGTACCACCACTAATGGAGACTTGCGTCTGGTCTGAGTCTCACTTGGAGGGATGGTGCTAAACTAGTGTCCAGAGAAAAGACACAGGAACAACAAAACACCTGAAGGAGCAGCTAACTGTTAGCTCAGTGTGGGGCAGCTGGACAGTTTGCTTAGCACCTTTGCCACTGTGTGGAGAGGGAGTGGGGCTGTGGCTGGTGCACTGCCCAGCCGGAGCTCTTCTGCCTGCATGCAGGCAGTGCCTGCAGACTGTCGATGCCTCGTGTGTGCGTTTTGCGGGATGAGGCTGGCTGCCTGCCTGCAGCCAGCCTATGCTCAGCAGGGCCTGACGCAAGCCCTGCAGACGGCTATCCCTGCTGCGGCTGGGGTGATGCCTCCTGGGGACTTCTCTGAAGGGCAGCACAGGGTTTGGTCAGCCAGTAGGTACAGGCAGACACCTCACCCCAGCATAGCTGGGACACACGGCTGCAGACTGCAGAGCACATGCAGTCTTTGGATGTGGTGCCCACTTTTAGCTGTGATGATAATTAACCACCAAAAGGGCTCATCAAGGCCTGTGGCAAATTCACCACTCCCGGAAATTTTTAAAACAAGTCTGGATATTTTTCTAGGAACTTTACTAGAAGCTAACGCAGGGCAACACCAGGCTCTGTATTTAGCGTCCACCCCAAATTTTGGATCAACAGCTGGTTTTACTGTAGCTTACTTATTAGGCTCTTGATGTTTGCCTGAGAAATACGAGGGAAATGGGATCAAGCTGTCTATGGGACAGCCCAGGAAACACTCCATTCGGGGTTGTAAAAGGCCTGCTGCTTGAATATGTGGGAGCAAGAGTCAGAGCTCTGAGCCTGAACGAAGCTGCTACAGCACCCTCACCTCTGACTTCTTTGAATATCCTGCAGGGCCAAGACTGGCTGTTCCCAGGAGGAGGTATGTGAGAGGAGAAAGGAGAGAAGGAGAAGGCTGCAGCTGGGAACAGGACACCTGCATGACTCTGGAGGATCAGCATGCAGATACAAGATGTGGACAAAGTTGTGGGGTCACCTCATTTGCATAGGACACCTGCAAAAGCTCACAGGATCACCATGATGTGCAGAGTCAAAGTGCATGCTGTGTTTCTGCCCAAGACTACAGTATGTGCAGCTGCAACCCCATGTGCCAAGAACAGAAAAGTTCAAAAAACACAAGTGCAGGGAGATACTGGGTGAAAATGTTCTGTGTCGTGTCGTCAAACAGCAGTGATGCCAGAGCCCAGCACTCTCTCCCTATGCTGGGACTCCAGAGGGTGCTCCATGAGGCAGGGAATGTGACCCTGGAGCTTTGACATTGAGAGTCCAGATGTTCCTGTTCACTGACCCAGCCAGAGCAGCAGTGAGAAGGAAGCCACGGTGATTTGTTTCTATGGTTCATTATGTTCTCAGTTGAAGACCTACTTCTAATCACTGCTACTACCCCAGAGTCTGAGTCTGCCCTTGTAAGACTAAGGGGCAGTCATTCTCAGAAACCCTCTCTGTATTGATGTTGGTGGGTGGACCAGGCAACCCATCCTTCTCCTGGATAAACCAGCTGCATGTTCTGAGTGTTTTCTGGCCTGTAGCTTTCCTGTTCTGTCCTGTAGGACCCCATTCTGCAAAGGGAAATTCTTTGCCATCCGGAGACAATGGCTGCATGAATGCATCCTTCTATTGCATACGAGATGTGTTTCTGACAGTAACCAGCTCCTTGGTCTTGAAGAGAGGGAGACTGAGACTCAGGGTCCTGCAGAGCATCTTGCTCAAGTCCAGAATGAGGCCAGGGTTTCTGAGAAGCACAAGGTCAGTGCTCCAGCCTGTCTTTCGGCCTTGTTAAGATGTGCTTGGCTGCAAGCATGGTATTTCTCTGGAACCTGCTGCAGCTGTGCACAGCACATGGAGCATTACTCTCTCTCCATGCCTTGCCCTCTCTTTCTGCCTACACCATGCTCCTGGGATAGCCCAGCCTTCACACAGCCACATAGAGCGCACTCAGCCCAGGGCAGCATTGGTGTCCCCCACCACTGCACACCATGCTAGCCATGGCCAGGTCTGGCATGCAACAGGCTCTCTGCCTGCAACACTTCTCCCACATCCCACAGCACACCCCATCCCCACCTGCCTCTTGTGCCATGAAACAGCTCCATCATGTCCCAGGCCAGGCCCAGAATAACGATGTTCACATGGGCACTAGGACTGGCGCCTTTCTCTTGTCACCCCCAGTGACACCTCCACCCTCTCCCTGTATTGCCAGCTTCCTCCACCATTCCCTGTTCAGGATATCCCCTTGGCCATACAGTGGTGCCCCACAGTTCTGCTGTGGCTGTGCAGAGCCGGCAGCTGACCATGGGCTGGAGAGCATAGCCTGGGCTTGAGGCACTTGATCTCTCTCATGTCTGCT